GGAGAAGTAGTACCGAAGGTTGTACGGACGAAGNGGTACGTACGTAACGAGTTGGCGCACGTTAGACGTTGAGAGTCGCGNAGGGGGGGGGGGGGGGGGGAGGAGTCACCCGGCCGGTGTTGGGATGACATCAGCGACACGTTGTCTGCCATGACAGAGATTGAAAGAGTGGGGCAGACTGACCTGTGACCGATTTCAAAGAGCATGGCGAACACCATGGCATGGAGGAAGAAGGCGTAGAGGAGAAAGAGGAGGCGCATACGTCGGTGGCTCAGCACGAGTCGGGTGAGCATGTGCAGCAGCCGCTCCGGTGGCGTCATTGATGAAATCGCTCGTGTTTGTTCCTGTTTTCGCCCCCACGCCACGCCACGCCGGGCCGTGCACACGTTGACGATGCCAAAAAGAGACGGTCGGTCAGCCGTTTTTCCCCTCACAATCTTGGACAGCATCCACAGATGTGGTGCTGGTTGATCGCTGAAGAAGGACCAAAGGCTACTGGGAACGGACAAGACACTCACGCGACCCTTGAACCGTTCCCAGGGGTTCATGCTCTCCTCGTAGCGCAGCCGGTACTTTTCGTCGGCGCTCGTACGTCTCGCGACGCCCACGGCGCTCAGATCTGCGCCCGCAGCTGCGCCACCGCGCTGAGGCGGCGGGTACTCGCCCATGGCGATCCTCACCGCCGACCCGTTGCTCCCCTCTGCCCCTCCGCTGCCGTTGCCCCCGCCGCCGTACGTCTGGAGGTACCGCAGCTTCTCGTACAGGCCCAGGTTGTCGGCCTGCAGCGTCTTGATCTCGTTGCGGAGCTCCGAGATCGTGGTAAACTGCTTGCGCAGCTCCTCTTCCAGCTCGGCGTTGCGCGCCCGGAACCGGTCGCGCTGCGACGTGATGATGGGCAGGATCGACGTGTCCGCGCCCGAAGATGGCGTCGAGGACGGTGGGGCTTGACGAGGTGTCGAGGGAGTCGTTGCACCGGCGCTTGTAGGTTGCGTCGCCAGCTGCGACTGCGACTGCTGCTGCTGCTGTGTGGACGATCTGGACGGGGAAGCGGCGATGCGGTCCATCTCGGCCAGCGCCTCTTCTGCGCTCATCGCAGCCGAAGCCGATGCTGATCTCGCCGCTGCAGGCTCTGCGCCGGGCGTTTCGCTGCCACCGCTTCTGCCGCCGCCACCGCCGATCGAGACGAGGTCGTTTTCGAGCTTCTCGGTGAGCGCCTGCAGTCTGGCCACCTCCCTCTTGAGCCGGTCGAGCTCGCCGCTCGATGCGGTGCTGGCGGTGCTGAGCTCGTTGTGGGCCACGCGCAGGCTCGTCAGCTGATCCTGCAGCTTGCGGTTCTTGTCGAGCAGCAGCGCCTCGAGCGGCTTGGCGGCGCCCGACTTGTTCCAGTCCTGCCCGTTGCCATTCGACCGGGCCTCGTTGCCTGCGTCCCTCTCGTCATTGTTGTCATTGACATCGCCATCGTCGTCATCGTCGCCGAATTCGTTGGAGAACTCGACCATCTTGACAATGTCGAGCTCGCGCTTGATGTCGTCGTAGTCGGCGCAGCGGGCGAGTCTGGCCCTGAGCGACTCGACCTCGGCCTCGCGATCCCTCTGCGCCTTGGCGGCCTCGTCAGCCGAGCGTGCGGCCTGGTCCCGCACGCCCTGGAGCGACCGCTGCTCGCTCTCGATGAGCTCCTGGAGCTGCGCGATGCGGGCTTCGCGCTGTGCGAGCTCCTTTGCGAGTCGATCGACGCGGTCGTCGTCGTCCCTGCCGCTGCGGATCGACTCGATCTCGGCGCGGAGCTGCTCGTTGCGCCGCTCCACGCTCTCGACGCGCGACTGGGCGCGTTCGAGGTCGCGCGAGACGAGCTCGATTTCCGCGAGCTTGCCGCGCGTCTCGCGGTCGTCGGCCTCCTGCCCCTGCTCGAGGAGGCGGGCGGTGGCGCTCTCGTCGCGCGTCTTGAGCTCCTGGAGCTGCTCCTGGGCGACGCGCAGCGACTGGGCGAGGTCGCGCTCGCGCTCCTGGAGGTTGCGGATGCGCTCGTCCCAGCGCGCCGAGACCTCCTTTTCGACGGCGTCGGTGCGTTCGGCGAGCCGCCGTTCGGATTCGGACTCGAGCTGGTCCACGCGCTGCTGCAGCCGCTTTGCCTCGTGCTCGCCGTCGCTGCGCCTGGCTGCGCTCGCCTTGAGCTCGGCGTTTTCTCGGCGCAGGCGGACGTTTTCGGCCTTTGCGGAGTCGAGGTCGGCGAGGGCGGCGGCCTGGTCGAGGACGATTTCGAGGAGCGGGTATGGATCGGGAGCGGCGACGAGAGCCGAGTGTGCGTTGAGAAATGCGTTTTCGGCGAGCTTTGAGCGCTTTGTGAGGGTGTCGATCTCTGCCTGGTAGGCCTTGAGGAGGGGCTTGATGGCGTCTAGCTTTGCGTCGTCGGGCTGCTTTTTAAAGTCGCGGGTCTGTTCTGCGAGCTTCTTGCGGTTGACGACGGCAGCCTTTTGCGCGTCGAGGAGGGCTGGAGCGGTTGCGGCGAGGGAGGATTGGAGGTCGGTGAGGTTGATGTCACGCCAGATGGAGAGGGCGGTGGAGAAGTCGACGGACGAGTGCCGGTTGCGGTCCGCGGGTACGGGGGGCTGTGAGGTTGGTGGTGGTTGTTGTGGTGAATGTTGATCTGCTGCGGGCTGCATGGCGTCTGTCATGGTCGCGAGCGTGGCGGTTGTGGCAGTGATGCAGATGCAGTCGATGCTAGGATGGACCGTGGTGGTGGCGGTGTGGGGAGGAGGAGCAGGCGATGCTGAGCACGGCGAGAAGACGAGCAAAGGCGCCACGAGGCAAGGTAGGGTCCTGGGTCTGTGCGCGCGCCCTCGACTCTTTGACTTCTCGCGCGGGACACGGGCAGCGCGTGGCAGGTCAGAGGGCCGCCAAAACGCGCTCTCGCTGTGTTGTGTGTTGCTCGCCGCCAGATGGCAGGCCAGGCCAGGCCAGGGCCAACACGCCGTCCATCCAGCCTCACCGCCATCACCACCGCCACCACTATCGCCACCACCACCGCCACGCCACATCGACCCCTCCGCGCACACAGCGTCGCGTCCCACGCAGCACAGCTGCCCGCACTCCTCTGACATCGTCCCGCTTCTTCGCCCCTCCGCCCGCCCGCTCGCCTCGCCCGCCATGCCGGCAACACCACAGACGCCGCCCTCGGCGCGCCAACGCCCGCGCGCCCAGCCGGCAACGGCCACCTCGCCCGGCCTCCTCGACCAGTCACTCTCGCCCGGTGGGCTCCTCGACACGTCCATGCAAGGCCTAGACCTCGCAGACACGCCCCTAGCCTCCCACCAACACAGACCTCTCGCCATCAATGCCGCCACGTCCAACAGACCCACCGCCTCGTCCAGCCGCCCGCGCCCGAGCTGGGGCGCCGCAGCCGTCCTCGACTCCAACGCTTCCGTAAAGGCGCGCTCAAAGATGCGCTTCCTCCAGGACATCGACCAAGACCGAGAAGACGCCGCCGCTGCTTCCAGCACATCGTCCACTGCCCCTCCCGTCTCTGGCGCGGCAGGCCGTACCAATCGGCCCAGGTTCAGCCTATTTGCCAAGCCAGGCCTGCCCACCGCACAACCAAAGCAGCAGCAGCAGCAGCAGCAGCAGCAGCAGCGCGCCGGCCAGGCCGCGGCGGGATCAGCAGCATCGGCGGGACAGGACGATGACGACGAAGAGGAGCTCGATGTCCGACCAATGGCATCCGCTGCGAGCCAGCATGCCGCCGCCGCCGCCGATGATGATGACGACAACTACGACGAGGGCGGCGGCGATGGCGACGACACCTTTCTTCGCGAGGCCATCCTGGGCAAGGGCAGCGGCGGCGGCGGCGGCAAAAATGACGGCCACAACGACAGGGACGGCGCCGCCGGCGTCAACGCAACGTCCCCCGGCGCGTCCGCCGGCAACGGTGCCAGCGCCAACGGCAGCGCGGCGCGCGAGACGCCCGACCAGATATCGCGGCAGCTGCACGAGCTCAAGCGGCTCAATGCCGTCTTCAGCGCCTACGAGACGATGCTGCGGGGCGCCGCGGGCGAGATTGGGGCCTTTTCGCGCCGCCTCACCGATACCGACGACCTGCTCAACATCTACATCGACCAGCTGCGCAACACGGAGCGCACGCAGCAGCTGCTCCACGACGGCGGCTGGAAGGGCGCCACGGGCGACGCACAGGAGGTGCACAAACTCGAGATGGAGCTCCAGGAGCGCGAGACGCGCAGGCTGCAGGCCGAGGCGGCGGCCAGGGAGGAGGCGCAACGGCAGGCGGAGCAGGAGGCCGAGAGAAGGGCGAGGCTCGAAGAGGAGGAGCGGGAAAGGAGAGCAGAGGCACAGAGGCTAGCCGGCGAGAGGGGCACGGCGGGACGCGGGAGAGGGAGAGGCGGGTCGGCGAGGGGCGCGGGCGTCGCGACGAGGGGTGCCCTTACTCGCGGCATCTCGACCGGTGCCGGTGCGACGGCGTCGACGAGGGGTCGAGGCGCGATAGGTGAGTAGTGACAGGGGCTGCCGGGTTCGGGCCTGTGGGCCCAGGGCCGAGAGGGTGGAGACTGACTCATGCTCGCCCTTTGCTCGCTCCCGTTCTTCTCGCGCTTCAGCCCGACCGGCGGCCGGTTCCGCGACGAGCACGACGACGACGGCGACGACGGCACGAGCCTCGACGCGGGGCAGCGGGATAGGGAGGGGCCGGCCCTCTCCCTCGTCGACCTCGGCCTCGAGCGCCAGCGCGCGCACCACGTCTTCCTCTGCGTCTGGGCCGCGCACCGTCTCGTCTGGCATCCCCGTGCGGCCAAGCGCCGGACTGGGCGGGCAGTATGCCAACGTCAAGAGCTCCGGGTACGGTCCGCGGTAGCCCCGAGCCCCGAGGCGCAGCCTGAGCCCGGGCCCCCCTGGTCCCGGCCTTGGACTAAGCCCACCAGACCTTGCTAATCCGACTAGACGGCATGGAAGACGGCTCAATCTATGCCCAAGGCGAAGGCGAGGCGACGTGGAGACGTGCGATGCTGCTCGTGGCGTATGGGGGACCTGGGGAGAAGAGGTAGTGTACAGTCGATGGAAGTGGGAGACGAGGTGCGATGCGGTGACGGGTGCTGCTGGGCGGTGCGGTTGCTGGTGATGGTACAGATGCGAGGGAGGAGGAGGGATGCGATGCGGATCGGACGGAGCAGAACGGAACGGAGCGGAGAGGGGGAAAGATGGAAGGGGGGACGGGGGGATCGGTCCGGGACCAGCCTGGACCGACACGATCGGGCGGGGAATCCTTGCAACCCGGCGACGAGGCCGACGGGGCCATCTTGGACAATGCAGAGGCCGCCGCCGCTGCTGCTGGCCGCTCGCTGGTCAGGGCTTTTTGCCGTCGTCGAGCCAAGTCTTGAAGAAGGGGTTGGTAAAGATGCCCTGGGCCTCCTGGCAGGCCTGTTTTGCCGTCGTCGTCGTGCATCGGGGGAGAGGAGGTGGAATCGTCGGTCGGTCGGTCAGACTTGTGGCGCGCCACACCTCGCGGGAGCGCAACCAGGGACGACGACGAGGGCGGCGGCGGGGGTTGGAGTACGCACCTGTTCAAACCAGCGCTGTGCGGCCTTGAGATCGTCGCGGGCGGCACCAGAGCGGATCCAGCAGGTACGCATGTGGAACGGGAACTTGTCGCCGTACTGCTCCGGATCCAGGTCGTCTTCCGGCAACGTCTTTGTCGTATCGCACCGCGACACTGCCGTCGTCGTCGTCGTCGTCGTGGGGCTGGCGGTGTCGAGACGACGGAGGTGTCCTCGTTTCGCCTTTGTGGTGGAGCGATGGGGAGCAGGAGCGGTGCGAGGCGGCACGACGATGGGGTGGCACGAACTGTCGCACACGCCAAACTCGCCCCTGGTGTCGCTCGAGAGGAGCGGGGTGTAGTACATCTTTGAGCCGCCGCATCGGTCCGTGGGCTTGTATGCCGATACCGAGGGCGGCAGTGGCAGCACCAGCAGCGCAAGGAGGAGCAGCAGGAGCAGCGGCGGCGGCGGCGGCCGGGGAGAGGATGGGAGGCAGAGGAGCGGACGCGGCAGCTTCATTGTGAGGCACGTCGCGGAGAGGGATGGGCGGTACGATGCCGGTCGTACGGGCGTGGTCGGGACGAGGAGCCGGCAGGGTGCCGCAGGATGAAGTGGTGATGCTGGTGGTAGTACGACGTGGTGGAGGCGGTGACGATGGCAAGACAGGGAGGGGGGAGGGGGGAGGCAGCGGTTGTATCTATAGCGAAGCCGACCTCGATGAGCCGTCTCGATGAAAGGGACGGCGTCCTGCGACCACAGACAGCAAGCACCGCCACGCACGACGTGCGGCGGTCGAGGTGGAAAGCGGGGTCCCGACATCCTGCCCTGCCTGCCCACCCGCCCGGACCCAAGGCAACCTTTGTTTGGGAGGCAGGCAGGCCGGGAGATTCGAGGGTCGGCACGCTACGGTGGGGCAGCGCGAGGTGATGCTCCAAAGATAGAAGCAAGCAAGCAAGCAGGCAACCGAAGCAAAGGATCGCGGCCGCAAAGAAACGAGGCCGGCGCGGAGATGCATCCGACTCGACCTGCCTCCCCGCCTGCGCATCGGCGGGTCGGTGCATGTGTATGTTGCTTCCGCCACCGCTTGCTTGTCATCCGCTGTCCTGTTGTACAAAGCAGTAGTCCTGTGCATGGCTGCCGTGCGGCGTGACTTCAACATGTGGCCGCCCGGCAGCGGCGACGGCGCCGGCGACGGCGAGCACCCTCGAATTCGGTGTCAGTCAGGAAGGAGGCCAGGCCAGGCCAGGCCAGGCTGACGCACGGCAGGTCGGTCTCGCCAGGCCTCGGGCGCGCCCGTGTCGCTCCTTGCCGTTGTCGACGCCCGCTTGCTCGTTCGGCTCCTCCCGGTGCTCGCCCGCCTGCTGACGAGTGATGCAACGACGGGAGAAGGCTAACTGTGGTGGCCGCCGGTGCGAGCAGGGCAGCAAGCAAGGAGGGTGCAGGCTAGGCCAGGGTGGGGGCTGAAGCAAGGGGCCGGAGGGCGACAGGAGGGCGCAGCCGAAACGTCGGCGCACCGACGGCTCGGCGTCTCAAGCCCGTCCGCCCGCCCGCCAGCCCGCCAGCCCGCCAGCCCACGGCCAGCCAGCCCCCACGGCGTCGCAGATGCAAGATGCCGGCCCTCTAAAAATAATTTCTTCAGCCAGCCCGCAGCGCCCACCGGGGCGAGGGCCGGGGTAGTTTGGGTCACCGCGGGCAGGCGACGGATCGGCATTATTTGTCCTTTCGGGCGCACCATCGTCATGTTTTGTGAGGCGGAGCATCGGTGCTTGTGACGAGGGCCGCCGTGAGGTGATGGCGACGACGACACGCCGACTGGATGGATGGCGGCATCAACAGCATGGCGCCCACAGCGCTGGAGTGCTGTATGTACAAAACGGGCTGGCCGGAGCAACACGGGCAGCCAGGCAAAAGGCCTCGTGCCGCGTCGGCCGCGAGCAAGCAAGCAAGCAAGCAAGCAAGCAAGCAAGCAAGCAAGCGTGGATGCATGCTGCTGGGCGGTGTTTCGACGCCCGATACCGGCACGGGCCGCACGGCACGGCACGGCCAGGCTTTCATACCGCCCCTGCCTCGCCATCGACGCATCGTCGGAACCCCGCCCGACCTGTGCACGCGGGAGCGGACCGATGGAGCGAGGTGCATCGAATAGGGAAAGAGGCAGGGGGATCCGTCCGTGGTCACGCCTGCGAGGGCCTGGCGATGGGTTGCGGCCATAGAGCAAGGTGGCCACCCAACTCGTCGTCGTCGTTGTCGCCCGAGAAACGGGCCTGGCCCACGACGTCGTCGACGTGGTCCGAGCGTCGTCTTGCTCCTCCACCTCGGGCCGTCGTCAAGTTGGCAGCGGGGAGCGGCCTTCTTGCCGCCACCGCTACCACCACCGCTACCACCACCGCTACCACCACCGCTACCACCACCGCTACCACCACCGCTACCACCACCGCTACCACCACCGCTACCACCACCACGGCCACCACCACCACCACGGCCACCACCACCACCACGGCCACCACCACCACCACCACCACCACCACCACCACCACCACCACCACCGCCACCAGCTCGGCCACCAGCTCGGCCTTTGGCGTCAGCCATGTCGACCCCTTTGAGCGCCGCGAGCGCCGCCGACACGCCTCCGGGCATACCGGGCGTGCTATCGCTCTACCAGCGCACGCCGACGACGCTGAGCTACCACGACAGCTCGCCGTCGTCGCCGCACACGCTCGTATTTGTGCCCGGACTGACGGACACGCTGGCCTCGGTGCCCTACCTCGCCCTCCTCGTGCCCATGCTGCACGCGCACGGCTTCTCGCTCGTCCAGCCGCTGCTCACGTCCAACATGTCCGGGTGGGGCCTGGCGACGCTCGAGGGCGACGCCCAGGAACTCGCACGCTGCCTCGCCCACCTCCGCCGCTCGCCCGCCAAAGCGCATGGAAAGGTCGTTATCATGGGTCACTCGACTGGATGCCAGGACGTCGTCACCTTCCTCCTCAGCCAGGCGAGGACAGAGGATGACAGCACAAAGGTCGACGCGGCCATCCTCCAGGCTCCCGTCAGCGATCGCGAGGATTACGAGTGGAGGCGCTCCCAGCTCGCCGACGACGAGCAGAGGAAAGAGTGGGACCAGAGGATGCAGCACGCCCGCACACTGGTGCAGCAGCGAAAGGGCGGCGAGGTCCTCGCTCGTCTGTTTTCGTCGTCGTCGTGGTCGTCGAGTCAAAACGACGACGTGCTCCCACCCACCGATCCCTTTGCCACCACCTCCGCCGCCGCCGTCGCAATCGACAACGACGACGACGACGACGACGACAAGGACGGCCAGACAACGACAACGGGCGGCAACTCGAAAGCCGCGCTCACATCCGCCTTTACCGCCTACCGCTTCACGTCCCTGTACGACCGGGGCGGCGACGACGATCTCTTCTCGTCGAGCCTGTCGGACGACGAGATCGTCTCGACGCAGCCACGTCGCAGGACCATGGGGGCGGCGCTGCGCAACCTCGTCGTCGCCGCTTCCCATCGCCGCGGCAGCCAGGGCGGAAACGACGAGGCGTCGACGCTACGCATGCTCGCCATCATGTCGGACCGCGACGAGTACGTCCACCCTCCCGCCGACCCCCACGCCATCGTTCAGAGGTGGAACTCGCTCCTCGCCCCAGCAGACGCGGCGACGCAGCCGTTCCAGGCGCGCATCCTCGAGGGCGGCAACCACAAGGTCGACGATCCCGACGCCCAGAGGCGGCTCGTCGCAATGGTCCAAGACGTCGTACTGGGACTGCTCTAGATGCGGCGGGCAAGGGGCACAGTGGGAAGAATGCTAATGCTTTTCCCATCGTCGGCGGTGTTACAAGCGCACGACGACGGATGGGGAGGTCGATGCGGGAAAACGACGCGGGTACGCGTATATGTACAGCGGGGCGGGGATGGGCCAACAGGCCGGCCCGCATCAGATGTGGATCTGTCCGACGGTGCCAAACTCGGTCAGCGGGAAGCTGGGCGCGCCGGTGCGCACGGCGGTGCCCTCGGGCAGGCCGTGGCCCGCCACGGCCTCGCCGCGCAGCTTCTTCATCTTGACGACCTCCTCGACGTAGTCCTCAAAGATGCCGTTGGTGTCCTCGGGCCCGCCGGCGTGCTCCGGGTGGAACTGGACGCCCCACACCATGGCGCGCTTCTCGTCGAGCTCGGTGCGGATGATGCCCTCGACCGACGAGTCGTTGGCGTTGACAAACCACGGCTGCCAGCCCTGCGGCCACTTGGACTCGTCGGGCGTCAGCGCGTAGCCGTGGTTCTGCGACGTAATGTAGACGCGGCCGCGCTTGACGAAATCGCCGGCGCTCTTGAGCGCAACGACGGGCTGGTTGTGGCCGCGGTTGCCAAACTTCATGCGGTAGGCCTCGACGCCGGCGGCGAGGCCGATGATCTGGTTGCCCATGCAGATGCCGAAAATGGGGCGGTCCCACTCGGCGATGGCGCGCCTGGTCATGTCGATGGCCGGCTCGATCGAGTACGGCGATCCGGGCCCGTTGGAGAGAAAGAGGCCGTCGAAGCCGTCGCGGACGCGGTTAAAGTCGTACGACCAGGGCAGCACCGTCACGCTGGCGCCGCGGCGGAGGAGCGAGCGCAGGATGTTGGCCTTGCATCCAAAGTCCATCAGCGCGACGTGGGCGCGGGCGGCGGCGGCGCCGCCCTTTGGGTGGATGACGTAGGGCTCGCGCGTCGACACCTGGTCGATGAGGTTGAGCGACATGGGGTCGACGTAGTCGGACTGGGCGGGGGCGCGGTCGTGGCCGTCGCCGACGCGGATGGCGCCGAGGGTGGAGCCCTGGTCGCGCAGGAGCGACGTGAGGGCGCGGGTGTCGACGCCCGAGATGCCCGGCACGTTGTGGCGCGCGCACCACGTGGCGAGCGACTCGCGGGCGAGGTAGTGCGAGAAGCGCTCGGTCAGGTTGGACACGATGACGCCGGCGGCCTGCACCTTGTTGGACTCGAGGAACGCGCCGACGTCGACGTCCTGCGGGTGCTCGATGGGCGAGCTGGCCGACGAGTTGTCGGGCACGCCGTAGTTGCCCATGAGGGGCTGGGTAAAGGTGAGGATCTGGCCCTGGTACGACGGGTCGGTGAGCGACTCGGTGTACGAGGTGATCGAGGTGGTGAAGACCGTCTCGCCAAAGACGCTGCGGGGCGCGCCAAACGACTTGCCCGTGAAGCTGTGGCCCGACTTGAGGTGGAGCGTGGCGGGCTTGGACTCGGGCGCCTGGGTGAAGGTGATGGGCGCGCCGGGGGCGTGCGTGGCCAGACCGCGACGGGCAGCGGACGCGGCGGCAGAGGCCAGGGCGGCGGGGACACCGGCGTGGGCGTGCTTGCAGAGGCCGGATCGCAGCGAAGGTAGGAGCATCATGGCGGTGGCGGCGGCGGTGGTGCTTGTGCTTGCGAGGTTGCGAGGGTGGGGAGGGAGCTGGTGGCTGGCTTGGTTTGGTTTGCTTTTGTTCGAAGTTAAAGATGCGGGTGACTGCTGTTGCTGTGAGTGAGATCAGGCGGCGAGGGCGGACTTGTAGACAGAGTCGCTGATGTAGTCGTCGCGGGTCTGCTGAACAAACATGCGCTGGATTGGGGGGGCGGGGGAGGGCAGGATGCGCGGTCCGCCAGGTAAGGGGTTAGGCGTGGGCTTGCGGGTCGAGGGCTGTTTCGAGCGGGTGCGAGAGAGTGCGATGCGACAGACGAAAGATGTTGTCGTCGAGTGGGCAGCAGGAGCAGATGGATCGAGGTGGTGATGGTGGTGGAACAAGGAGGGAGGGAAGAGAGAGACGGGAGAGGGATCTATCAGGCCGGGCGGGGGACGGCGGGGGCGGGGCAGAGATAGATGGGCCGTCGCTCGCTCGGGCGACCGAGACGGGCCGTGGCCGTGTCCGCCTGCCTGCCTCTTGTCGAGCCAATCCGGTGACGCCGCTTTGGAAAAATTCCATGCGCCCCCCGCCGTGAAAACCCGATCGGGCGCGCCCAAATGACTCGACCCAAATCCCGGCTGGGCGGGGCCTGCAGCGCGGGCAGGCAGACTTCAGTCGATCGGCCGGGCCATCGCAGCGCGTGGGCCAGGATGGGGCCAGGTCAGGCTGAATGTGTTCGCTTCCCGATCCCGATGGAAGCCAGCCGGTGAGGTGGTGCGGTTCCGACTGCCACTGGCCACGCGCGGATCCGACACTGTCGGAGGCGGCGGTGGATGTCGGCGCGGGAGACGCCCGGCACTCTCTCAGCGTTGGCCGGCCTCACCGCTCAGGCATCGACCTTCGTTGTCATCACCATCGCCCTTCTCCGTCGACCCGCGCGCTCCCTCTTCCATCGATCATCGGAACAAGGGTCATCTTGACAGTGCAGCAGAACGGGTGAGCTGCCCTGGCCTCCCCTTGCACCCCTTCACGCCGGTACGCCGGTCGCGTGGCTGATCCTTTGTCGTCTTCTACCTTCCTGGCCGCACCGTCTCGTAGCCTCGAGAATCGCCCGCGTCCGAGGACACCTGTCTTTCCTTCTCACACGCTCGTCAATTCCACCTCGTGAGTCTCTGGCCTAGCCCTTCTTCCCTTCGACGCGGAGCTCTTCTGACCTGTTGACTTGTCTCGCTCGCCGCACTTACTGGCTCGTCTCTCGCACCGCCTCCAACCTCACCTTCGACGGCTACCGTCACGGCCATCACGCAGGCAGCCAGACACGGCACACACTCATACAGCATGTCGCAGCTCTACCGAGACCCGTGGGCGAAGCGCGAGGCATGGCGCAAGCACCCCGTCTTCTCGCACCGCTTCATGTTCCGCAACCTCTTCCCCGGCTTCGGCCTGGGCCTCGGCGCATTCCTGGTCTACTGGGCCGCCGACACCCTCACACATCCCTCCAACATCGAGAAGCTCAAGGAGGACGCCCGCAAGCAGACCGGACGTGACCACTAGGCCCATCCGATCCAAACGGCTGCGGTTGGGCGATAGGCGGCCCGGCGCACATGTGAGATTGGGTTGCCGCGGCTGCACACCGAGAGAGGCATCCCTGTCGCCGGAGACAGGAACCAGAAATGATACGGCCCTTGCACAGAAAGCTTTCGCTGCCCGGATGGCTTGCTGCCAGGATGGACCGCTGACCGAGACGGCTCGGGCGATGCTTGGGATGACACTCGCAACCGGAAGTCAGGCTGCGGTGCCTGTAGCGCCGAGCTCTGGCAGAGCCATTGCCCGACCGCCTGACTGCCGCTTTTGGATGGTGCGTGACCAGGTCGATCCTCTGTCGATAGGCTGCAGAGCTGCTCGTCGTTCGCCGTGCGACTCGGACGATCGGTCGAGGAGGAGGAGGTCGAGGCGCAGGAGATGGAAGAGGGGGTGCGTGCGGATGGCCGCGGACGGTGGAGTCCCGATGACGCTGCTGGTCCAGGCCGCCGATTCGCCCGATTGCCTGCCTCGATCCCAGCATCATCGGGCAAAACTAAACTCGACGGTCGAATTCGCCGATCCAGGACGAGCGGCCCGATGAACGACGAGGTGGAGGTTGTGCTTGGACGCCGTCGGCATCGCGCCAGGGAAGAGGCAGAGCCTAGGCGGACGGCCCGACCCGGCCAAGCACGCCATCCGCCCCACAGCACACGCCACCGACCCGCCGCTCCGCGCCGTCCTCGCTGCCTGCCCGTCCGCCCGACGGTGATGCATCGTATCCTTCCAGCACGCCCCTTGGTCGAGCGCGCTGCTGCGTGGCCCCCCCTGCCTGCCTGCCGTCCAGATCGAGGGTTTCCGGGCAAGAAACTCGAGCCCTAGCGCAGAGTTACGCCGCGCTGAAAGGCGGGCGAAAGGGCCCGGGCGTCGAGTGTCGTCTGGGCGTCCAACCCGACCGTCGCCGCTTTGCTTGCTGCACCATGCTTCTCTTGGCTTTGGCTCTCAGCGGTGCAAGCGCAGGATGCGACGACAGGGCAGGGCGAGCAGGCAGGCCAAGCAGGAGCCAAGCTCGCAGTCGGGCTGAGCTGCTGATGGCCGGGTGTGATCCTCGACTGCAGCACCGTGCGTGCGTGCGCCGAGCGGGCAGGCGGGCAGACCAGGCAGGCAGCCAGGGTGCCGGCTGAAATGGCGGCCCAACGTCGATCTGCTGCCTGCTGCCTGCCGCCTGCCAGGCTGTGCCGGCCCGCGCGTTGGGCACCGTCCCGTCCGCCCCTCCGTCCGTGCTGCTCCGTCAGGCTGGGCCCGGACCCCCACGCGAGGAGTGGCCGGCCACCAGCAGGCAAGGCAGGAAGATCTCTCGCCAACTGACGCTCCCTCGCTCCCTGGCCCCTCCGCTGCTGCTCTCCTTCGGGCGCCGGTGGGCCCCGAGAAGAAACTCTTCCTCCAGCCCGTCGGTCGCTCCTTCATCTTCCCTTCCACTACCACCCTCACCACCCTCATCGCCACCTCCCCTGTCCCGACCCCCGTCTCTCTCTTTGCTCTCTGCTCCAACCCCCCCACCGCCACCTCACGACCCACGCGCACAAGATGGCCAACGCACCCCACGGAGGCGTCCTCAAGGACCTGCTCGCGCGCGATGCGCCCATCGCCGCCCAGCTGCTTCAGGAGTCGGCCAAGCTGCCCGAGATTGTGCTCTCGGAGCGCCAGCTGTGCGACCTCGAGCTCATCATCAACGGCGGCTTCTCGCCGCTCGAGGGCTTCATGACCAAGCCCGACTACGACGGCTGCCTGGACAATATGCGCCTCGCCGACGGCTCCCTCTTCCCCATGCCCATCACCCTCGACGTCGACCAGGCCCAGATCGACGCCCTCGCCCTCGCGCCCGGCGCCCGCGTCACGCTGCGCGACCCGCGCGACGAGAACGCCATCGCCATCCTCACCGTCGCCGACCTCTACCCCGTCGACAAGGTGCGCGAGGCCGTCTCCGTCTTTGGCTCCGACGACGTCGCCCACCCGGCCATCGCCTACCTCCGCAGCAGCGTCAAGCAGTTCTACGTCGGCGGCAACGTCCAGGCCATCTCGAAGCCCTCGTACTACGACTACGTCGCGCTGCGCTACACGCCCGCCGAGCTGCGCCAGCACTTTGCCAAGATTGCCTGGCGCAAGGTCGTCGCCTTCCAGACGCGCAACCCCATGCACCGCGCCCACCGCGAGCTCACCGTCCGCGCCGCCCGCCAGCGCCAGGCCAACGTCCTCATCCACCCCGTCGTCGGCATGACCAAGCCCGGCGACGTCGACCATTACACGCGCGTCCGCGTCTACCAGAGCCTGATGCCGCGCTACCCCAACGGCATGGCCACGCTGGCGCTGCTGCCCCTCGCCATGCGCATGGGCGGACCGCGCGAGGCGCTGTGGCACGCCATCATCCGCAAAAACTTTGGCGTGACCCACTTTATCGTCGGGCGCGACCACGCCGGCCCGGGCAAGAACTCGCAGGGCGTCGACTTCTACGGGCCCTACGACGCCCAGACGCTCGTCACGCAGCACACGGCCGAGCTGGGCATCGAGATGGTGCCGTTCCAGATGATGACCTACCTGCCGGGCACCGACGAGTACCAGCCCATCGACGAGGTGCCCAAGGGCACGCCGACGCTCGACATCAGCGGCACCGAGCTGCGCCGCCGGCTCAAGACGGGCGCCGCCATCCCGGACTGGTTCAGCTACGAGTCGGTGGTCAAGACGCTGCGCGAGTCGTACCCGCCCAAGGCGCAGCAGGGCTTCACGCTCTTCCTGACGGGCCTGCACAACTCGGGCAAGGACCAGATCGCGCGCGCGCTGCAGGTCAAGCTCAACGAACAGGGCGGCCGCTCGGTGTCGCTGCTGCTGGGCGAGACGGTGCGCTCGGAGCTGTCGTCGGAGCTGGGCTTTAGCGCCGAGGACCGCCACAAGAACATCCAGCGGATCGGCTTTGTGGCCGCCGAGCTGACGCGCGCCGGCGCGGCCGTGATTGCGGCGCCGATCGCGCCCTACGCGCGCTCGCGTGCGGCTGCGCGCGACGTCATTACCAAGACGGGCGGCGCGGGCAACTACTTCCTCATCCACGTTGCCACGCCGCTCGAGTTTTGCGAGGCGACGGACCGCAAGGGGAGCTACGCGCGGGCGCGCGCCGGCGAGATCAAGGGCTTCACGGGCGTCGACGACGTCTACGAGGCGCCCACCGACGCCGACCTGGTGGTCGACATTTCGACGCAGAGCGTGGCCGAGATTACCCACTCGATTGTGCTCCTGCTCGAGGCCCAGGGCCTCATCTGAGCGGAGCCGGCGCAGCACCGAGCGACCCGCGGCCAATCAGCCGTGCTTGCCCCTCGTTGGGCCCCGGCCGTCGATGCTTGCCCACTGTGTCCCTCCGACTCTCGCTTTCTCTCCCTAGATTCGCCCCTCTGGGCCCGTCGACTATAGAAGCCAGTTGACCCCCCCGAGAAAAGACCCAGGGCCAGTTTGCCCGCTCGACCGAAATCTCACGATGGCGCTCTGCGGGGCGCTCGTATACACGCATCTAGACGAGTCTTGCCTGCCAGCCTTGCCAGCCTTGCCTGCCTGCCTTGCCTGTCTTGCCTTGCCTTTGGGCGCCGCGACGATTGGACAGAGGGCGCGTTGATGGTCGAGACGCGAAGGCCCGCGCCGGCCGAGGCAGGAGGGGATTTTGCCTTGATTTTCGAGATGCGTTTTTCCCCGGCCTGCCTGTGTTTTGTGCCGCGGGCTGGCCTAGCCTTGCCTATGCAAACGCCAGCAGCGCGGGCGGCGGGCAAGCAGAGGCCGGCAGCGCCGAGCGGGCGAGCGGGTGAGCCAGGTTGGACCCCACCTTTGTTGGTTGCCTTGGCCCTGGCTGGCGCGTTTGGCCCTAGGCCTGGACTGGGCTTGGCTTGGCTTGGCTGGCAGGCAGCCTGGCCTGGCCGTACCCTGACCCCAGACGTGGGCCTGGCCTGGCTGCCCGGCGCGGCTCTCGGCTTCGACGCCCGTTGCAGGAACGCAGCCGTGCGTAGGTACGTACACATGCACACGCCAGGCCATCGCCACCACCACCACCACCACCACCACCGCCATCATCATCGCCCCGTTCTGTCTGTCGTCCTGCTGCTGCCTTCGACGACGACGACGACGACGACGACGACGACGAAGACGACGACACAGCAGGAGCCATTCCGCCATCGGCACCCGGACGGCCGAGACTGCTCGACTTCGCGCCGCGCCGCGCCGCACCTTTCGTGCCCTGACTCGCCTTCAGCATCGCTGCCATCGCCGCCACCGCCGCCGCTGCTGCTGCTGCTGCTGCCGCTGTCGACATCGCCGCCACCACATCCCATCCGACGCCTTGCCACCGGTACGAGGCCCAGCTAGGCCTGCCCAGCCCCACCGAGGGCCCTGCCGCCGCCGCTGCCTCCTCCACCCGGCTGCTAGATGGAGGCGGCGACGAGGAGCATGGCCCCGCCTCCTAGGCCCACCACCGCCCCGCACGACTCTGGTCCACGACACCGCCCGCATCCGCTCGACCTCGGCGGCTCCACGGGCCATCGACAGACCGAAAGCACATCCTACACCCGCCTCCCCTACCGCCACCACCACCAGGCTGACGGCCAGCAGCATCAGCAGCAGCAGCAGCAGCCCGCTGGTCACGCACAACCCCAGGCCTTGCCTCGCCACCTGCAGCAGAACGGCACCCGCAACCGCGGCTACTCGGCTTCCGCCACGCAGCCATCGCCTGGCGCGCCACGTCCCACGCCCCGCTACGTCCATGCCTCGTCACATTCGCTCGAGCAGCGCAACGGCTACGGCCAGGCGCCGTCCCACCAAGCCTCTTCGTCATCAATGTCGTCGTCGTCGTCTTCGTCATCGCACGTCCGCCCCGATGATGCCCAGGACGAGCTGTCCATCTCGCCCATGGACGACCACGAGCTCAGCCAGGTAATCTCGCGCACCTCGAACCATCAGTCGGCCGATGCGTGGCCCAGCCAGCCCGGTGGCGCCAGGGCGGGCAACCAGGAAGACATCAGCCCCTGGCTCTTCCAGTCCGCCGAGAGCCGGACCCCGAAGCCTCGGGCCAGGACGCGGACAGAGCCCGGCGGCGGCGGCGGCGGCAGCAGCACGACCGGCTTTCTCAACTCGCCCGGCGACCCCGGCGGTCTGGGCCACTCGCCTTCCTCGTCGTCGTTGGCGAGGCACGCTACGCCCCCGTCGGCCAGCACCTCGACCAGCACGCTCGGCGGCAGCGCGCAGAAGGAGACGACGCCCTCCAGCCTTGGGAAGAAGTCGTCCTCCAAGAACCCGTTCAAGTTCCTCAAGAAGAAGGCCTCGAGCATCCACGCGGGGCGCGAGCATGGCGCGGATCCAGCCTCGGCGCCGCCCGTCCCGCCTGTGCGGTCGTACCCGGCCAACCAGACCCCGCAACCGCTGCGCCCGGCGGCCTGGCTCGACTCGAGCGGATCCAGCCGCTTCTACTCGTCGCATGCGTCTCCAACGGCGGCTGCGATGGCGGCCACCCACTCGTCGTCGTCGACGTCGCACCACGGCACGCGCGGCCTGACGCCGGGCGCATCGATGGTCTCGCTGCATTCGCCGCCGTTCAACCCGAACCCCTGGGATCGCTCCGTCATGGCTACGAGGCTCGACGGCGTCCCGCAGGCGCAGAGCCTCGAGGACGAGTTTGACGCGGAGCAGCGGCAGGAGCAGCTGCGCAAGGAGAGGCGGAGGATCCGGGGCGTCATCCCGCACCACCGCTCCCGGACAAAGACGCACGACGATGGCGAGGGGGCGGCGCCGCCCAAGCCGGTCCCGCCAGAAGAGGTCGAGCTTTCGCTCGATACCAACTTTGACCAGATCGACGACATCGTCGACACGTCGCGCAGCCGCCAGGTGGGGCCGATGGACGAGCCGATGCCACCGATGCCGTCGATGCCGTCGATGCCGTCCAGCCCGCGCCATCCCACCGATGCCTCGGCCTCGACGACGGCGAGCAGCGAAGGCCACCTGAACCGCACGCCATCGACGTCCTACCCGTCGCTGGTCGACCAGCGGCAGCCGTCGTTTGCCTCGACCTGGGGTGGCTCGTCTCACCAGTCGAGCGACCCGGGCCTGAGAGCCACCTCACGTGCGGGCCGGCTGGGATATATGCCGTCCTCGCCGAGCTCGTCGACTGCGTTCGCATCGTCCGAGGTGCGGCCGCCGTCGTCGTCGTCGTCTTCGCAGCAGCAGCAGCAGCAGCAGCAGCAGCAGCAGCAATCTCCGTGGCACCGCCCGGGCCTGCGGAGAATCAGCCTGGTCGAGGCGCAGCAGCACCAGCAGCTGCGCCGGGTCTCGGGCAGCCTCCGCGAGGCACAGGGACGTCCGGCATCGCCTGGTTCCCTGCCGCGTCGCGGATCGGCCGGTGCTGGGTCGGACGAGGCGAGAAAGGATGCTGGCGACCACCCGACGCCCGACTATGCCAGCATCCGCAAGGGAAGCGTGACGTCGGCCCACAGCCTGCGGTCGGCGCACAGCGGCATCTCGCCCAAGACGTCATTTGCGCAGCTGCCCATGCCCAAAACGGACCAGGCAGGCGCGGCCAACGGAGGCAGGTCGGTGGGCGGCGGCGGCGGTGGCGCTGGAAGCAGCGGCGGCGTGTGGGCGCCGGGCATGCAGACGCCGGATGTCGGCAGCGCGAGGGCCACGGGCTACCACTTCCCATCGCCTTCGAGCGACGCGGCAGCGGCGGCCGCCTCGCTGCTCGGCCTGCGCAAGTCGAGTGCCAGCTCAGCCGGACAGGCGGCCAGCTCGAGCTGGATGGCGCCGGACAGCTGGGCCGTGCAGCCCGACCAGGCCCACGATGCCCTCCGCGACGACCAGGCCGAGGAAGAGGACGACGACGAAGAAGACGACGGCGATGGCGGCGTCGCCGTCGTTGATACTGCCGTCAAGGGGGCCTCGCCGGATCGGCGCGGATCGAGCTCGACCGCGAGCGCCGTCACCAGCACCGGCGTGCACCTGTCGGCCTCGAACGACGCCATGGCCTACGTCAAGCCCTCGTCGCGCTCCGGCTCGCGCAGGGGCACCGAGGACGGCATCGACCCGGCGGCCGTCGCCGCTGCCCAGGCGCGCAGCAAGGGCCAGGGCGGCGCAGACGTCTACGAGGCGATTGACTCTGGCGTCGGCGGCGGTGCAGGCGGGGCAGCATCTCAGCCGGCGATGCTGATGCCCCGGTCTCAGTCGCTCGTGTCGCAGCCGCTG